ATTATACTATATATTATATATTGTATTAATATTATATTAACCAGCTGACAGTCTGAAGCCATTCTATGGGACTGATAAAGGCTAATAACGTCCATTTGATGGATAATAATAATGATAACATCCGAAGTGGGTGAGGTAAAAAAAAATGTTGGTATCGGGACATCACTAGTAATCACTGTGTACAGTTTTATCTGTTATACTGTGTGTGTCAGGTAGTTAAGCTCACCTATTCCACTAGAGCCTCTACAGCATGGTTCGACTTTTCCTCTAGCAAGGATTCGTGGAACCAGGCCCCTTTTTCAGAACTTACTTCCCTGTGGTTCCCAGTGTACCGTGCTGGCCTGAAAACACGACGTCAGAAGTTTGCCGGTCACCGATTGGTGGAGTCACTGGTTGCGTCACAAGAGCTACTCTCAAAACAACCCAATCCGACATGTGCAATAACAACGCTACCATGTCCTCCATTGTTGTGTTGGGTATCTTTTTGGGGGTCTTGTTCTTCTATGTTTAATGGTGGCTGGTAAAAAGCTTGATGGAGCATAACCGCCACCAGCTGATAAGATAAGCTAAGGTAAGCTAATTTCCCTCTGTGATCAATGAATTGTTTTTGAATTGAATTGAATTGAATTAAGGCGCGTGGCATCAATTTTCAGACTCTGGGACCGCCTAACTTGACGATGACTGGAGCGTAATAGAAAACCACTGTTCAGCCAAGTCAAACTGTGCTGTAGAGGCGATAGTGGAAAAAGTCCACTTGAGACAAAAACTACAAAAAAGTAACTGAAACGGTCAAAATAATAACAGTTCTGTTGAATGCATTGTCCTTATTAAATAATTCAGTATTCAGTTTGTTTGTTGTAGTCGTGGCAGGAGAAGTGAGTACTGTACCAGGGTGCTGCTGTCTTGTCTGGTGACAGAAACTATGCGACTTTCTAACGGGCCATCCTTATTGCCTTGTTTGATGCTGATGTCTATCACCTCGGGAAAATCACAGAATAGCTGCAGATCCTGAAGATAATAAATATAAAACTGTAAGCACGACACAACCACGCAAGGCTGAATCCCAGCATCCCACTGTGATGAACTAACAGATTCCCGTTAGCATAAACCCATCTTCCGGTCCTCACCTCTTTGTCTCCTTTTCTCCACCTCCCCTTGTACAGGAGGATGCCCTCGACGCCCGACACGATGACGGTGACCTCTCGCGAGTGTTTGGTGACTTGGAAGCACTCGGAAAAAAAAGAGGGCAGCAACATCTCCAGGCTCATCAGGTACTTGAGCTTGAGGTTCCGAACGGTGGCCTTGCATTCGATGAACTGCTGGATGAACTTTTTGAAGCGATAGCGGATTCTCTTGCGAGTGAAGAAGTTGTACGCTCGGATGCGGTGCCGGACGTGTTGTGGCAGCAAGGACTTGTAGCTGTAAACAAAAACAGCCAGCATGTCAATTGAACGCCCCCTCAAGACATGCGTCATCTGTGGCATTGTGCTGTGTGATAGAACATTTCAGAGTGGCCTTTTATTAAGACTAAGCCTAAGGCACACCTGTGCAACAATCATTCTGTCTAATCAGCATCTTGGGATGGATCATCTCTACAAAGGAGAAGTGCCCGCTAACAGATTTACACAAATTTCTGAACAATATTTGAAAGAAGACGGTCTATTGCAGGGCTATTCAACTGGCGGCCATGGGCCACATCAGGCCCACGAGTGACCAAAGTTCGGCCCACCAATTGGTTCATTCATCTCTTAAGCACAAACCATGGTTTTCTACTCTAATAACTACAAGTTCTTTTAGTTAGACATAGACGTGTGTGGCATCTACAGAAACGTCATAATCTTGGCTACAAGCTGGTATAAACCATTTCTATGAACACCCAAGACCGTTAAAACTACAARCAGTTGAAGATAAAACTATAAAAGTGAAAATAAAATTGGTTTAAAAGTCAGAGATGTGAAAATGATATTTGTGCTAAATAGGAGGCATAATGTGTTATTTTTGTTTTTAATTTTGTTTTATTGGCACTACTTTTATTACATAGGGTTCTGTATGTTGTATTCATGATTAAATGCAGCAAAATAAACTATTTTAAAGGTAGCAGATCTTTGTAATACTTGGTTTATTTATTACATAATGACTTTAATTGCTGGAAGTTCTGCCCCTGAGATGTTGGCCTGCATTAACTGTGGCCACCGGAGCAATTTAGTTGAATAGCCCTGCTCTACTGGGTACATAGATAAAGTCTTTAAAAAAATGAGAGCAAAAAACAAAAGTGACACATTTTTATTTTTTGTTCAGTGTATTTCACTACTTGATTTCTGAGTTTGGATTTAATACTTTTTACGAGCAATCTGTAGAAATCTTCCATGTAGTGACATGTTACATGGAGTATTTTTTGTTGTTTTAGATTAAATTCCTCTTTCTTCCATAAGACGTTTTCTGTTCTATTTTTAATTCACAGCTTTAGAAATTGAAACCGACTTCTGCTGCGTCTTCTGTTACACAATCACACAATCCTCCTGCTGGGTGTGGCTGGTCTCAGGTGAGTGGAGTCCTACCTGGTGGTGTTGTACACTTCCACAGGTGACTGATCCTTCTCCTTCGCGAGCCTCATTATGTCCAGCACAGCCATGCCCAGACACTCCTCCTGAGTTTCGTGGTTTATTGGCATCTCAACCAAAGTTTTCAGGAAGTCACTTCGCCACTGAAGAAATGCGAGGGAATAAAAATGTGTAAACAATTCAACTTTTAAACAGTTTTTAACTTATTTAAACTGCAATACTAATAACATCCAGCTTAACTTTCAACGTTCTGGTGGTACAGAGCAGAGCTGTAACAGGATATCTAAAGTCTGAAGTACATTAAAATTATTGAACAACCACCTGAATTAATGAGAGTCTGCCTGTTTCCCTATAAACTTTATAAACCAAGTCTGCTTTCGTCGTGACAAGGAGAAAAGGGAATGGAAATATATTTTACTGCACTGTTCACTTTTTGTTCTCGTTGCACTTTTAACTTATTTGTGCTAACTTCTTTTTGTCCAGGACTCCCTTGAAAAAGTTTTTTATTCTCAATGGGATCTTCCTGGTTAAACAAAATTCCTTCAGCTTCTTTGTTGCTAATTGAGTATTTTTTTCTGTTTTCTTCAGCTATTCTGATGATTTTAACATTCTTGTACTTGTATTAGCTTCTTTTTGTTAATTTAAGCTTTTAATGCTCTCAGCTGTTTTCTGCAATTTAAGCTGCTTTTTGGGCATTTCAGCTAATTTGAGCTTTTTTCAGCTTCTTGCGGCTTCATTCAGCAGACATGCTCTTTCTGCTCCTTTGTGCTACATTCAGCTTTTTCAGCTACTTTTTTAATCTACTTTTCTGCTAATTTCAGCTTTTTTGCAAAAATCTTTCAGCATTTTCACGCTGAATTTCCTGCAAAAATGCAAATTCTCAAGTTTCTGTAGCCGAACCCAGACCCTTAACCTAAACTCATTCACACCTCAGTCCTAAACATAAGCCGTAACCACCCAACAGCATTTGAACTTCTGGGACCAGGCCTCTCACAGGGTAGTTTGTTTTGGGGAAATGGCCTTTACAAGGTAACAAATACAAGATCACACACACACGTAGGAACATAAGGAAATAAACAAAGGAAACCTGGCATGACTCTTGTTTTTTATTTGAGCTTTAAAAAAAGACTCAATTCTTCACTTCCTGTTTTCAAACCGAACCAAAACAATGAGATGTCAGAGAGACATGCAGACTGGCAGGCAGACCAAGTTTTATCTCCACCCAGCAGTTCTTCTTATCATTTTACACAACGTAAAAAACCACAAAGGGAAAAAACAACACTGAGTGTTTTAGCAGAAACCATGAAGACGTCCTCTAGTCTCTAAGCAGGTAAAGAAAATAATCAAATAACTTTTTCATGAGCATACACACATATAAACAGACTTCTTTAGATGTCTGTAAAGACAAGCGACTAACCTGAGCGAACAGGTAGGATAACACGCAGTCATCCATGACYGGGCTCTCCTTTTCTTTGGACCAACTGTAGCGATGGGCGAAGAAAGAATTACTGCTGTTGTACCAGCCTGGAAAATAATACCTGAACAGAAGGTTTGACCACAGAAACACGAGTGAGCACAGGTAAACAAAATCTGAAATAGATCAAACAAATAATAAATAAATAAATTACGGGTTGCTGCGTCCTACCTGATTCTGAAATGAAGCCACTCATCATTCTCTCCTGGTCTGACTTTAAAGATGTGATTAGGGGGGAACCACATCTGGTTCTTCTCCTTCATTAGGCCAAACAGGTTGATGTACACTGGACTAATCCCTGAAAGGGAGAAAAAAAAGATGAAATGTAACGAGTAAATCAAACAGCATGCTCTGCCATAATAAAATAAAATATGTATTCTGGTTTAAACCTTCACATTCATTCATGCAAACATGGATTTTCCTGACATTAAAACTCCAAAATGTCAGATTTGAGCTAAATGAATGTGGGGGGAAAAGAATGATTGAATGTTTTTGGTGTTTGTGCTGCAGCCTCTCCTCTCACACTGAAACACCACAGACGAATGGGAAAATTCCCCTGAGAACCCCTAACACCTCTCAGCTACAACCTCAGAAGCTACGCCTTGTTCTCACACACACAGTATCATGTTACAGTATTACTTAGTGCAGGATTGTGCTTTAACAGTGACTAGTTTCGTCCTGGTTATCAACCGGCACAAAGGGAAAAGGCAGGCAATAATATAATCACCCATGTCTACGTGTTTGTTTATTCGTTTGCAAAATATCTCATGAAGGACTGCGTAGATTTCAATGAAACTTTCAGGATATTACTGCAGGATATACCTCCATAACTCATTATTTCTTTAAGTCAAGCCAAATCAAGATGGCTGCCACAGCTAATCAAAGTTAGCCAACATCAAACATGAAGCTGAGAGTCATCCTCAGCACACAATCTGAGCACTAACAGATCCGAAAAAACAGCATGAAATTATCATTTTCGAACATTTGATTAAAAACGCTACAACTTGTTTCCCATCATAAGGTTTGTATTAGTTAAACCCTTGTGTTAAAATATTAATTTTTCAGTTTGCAAATTGAATAAAAGGTTTTATTTTTTTAAAAAAGAATAATAAGGTAGAAAGTTTAAGTA